GGAAACGAGATATATTGGTGGAATCTAAAGCTAGTCATTTCCAAAGAATAACTGAATTAAATCCAGCATATCTCCCACTTCAATACCCATTACTCTTTCCTTATGGTGAAGACGGGTACAGAAATGACATACAGTTTAGTAATGTGGAAGGTCAGAATTCAAATGCAAGGAGTAAACTTAGTCCAAGGGAGTGTTTTTCACTCCGTTTGCAAGATAGGTTCAATGAAATCTCAACATTGCTTTATTCTAGAAGGTTGTTTCAGCAATATTTGATCGATGCCTATACCATGATAAAATCAGGACGCTTGGTTTATATTAGGACTCATCAAAAGTCACTTCGATGTGAGTCATATAAATGTTTGACAGATGCGTTAACACGTGGTGAAGTAGATCCTACAACCCAAGGAAAGCGTATCATTTTGCCATCGAGTTTTACCGGAGGTGCAAGATATATGGTGCAAAATTATCAAGATGCAATGGCGATTTGTCGATGGATTGGTTATCCAAGTCTATTTATTACATTCACATGTAATCCCAACTGGCCTGAGATTGAAAGGTTTTTACAACCAATAAAACTCAAAGCTGAAGATAGGCCGGATATAATTAGCCGTGTGTTTAAAATGAAATTAAATGCACTCATAAAAGATATTCAAAAAGAAAACATTTTTGGAGTTGTTGATGCAAGTACTTTGTTGTATTTTCTAAATATTTCCTTTTTAAAAAAATATCTTAACAATAATAATCACATTTTTAGTCTAATTTTCCTATGTTTAAATTTGCAGTAATTTACACAATTGAATTTCAAAAAAGGGGATTGCCACATGCTCACATTTTGATATTCTTGAGTAAGAGTAACTCTTATCCTAATCCAAAAGACATTGATATGATCATATCTGCTGAGATTCCAAGTCAGTTGTGCGACCCTGAGTATTATAAAGCTGTGGAAGAATTTATGATTCACGGACCATGTGGTTCAGCGAGGAAGAATTCACCTTGCATGGTCAATGGTAAGTGCTCTAAATTCTTCCCAAAAAAATTTGTTGAAAACTCTACAGTGGATTTCGATGGATATCCGATCTATCGGCGTCGAGATAATGGTCGTACAATACGGAAAAATGGAATTGACCTTGATAGTAGATATGTTGTTCCACACAATAGACATTTGCTGATGAAGTACAAGGCTCATATTAATATGGAGTGGTGCAACCAATCTAGATCAATAAAGTACTTATTCAAGTACGTCAACAAGGGTAATGACAGGGTCACAGCTGAATTTTACAATAGTGCGGTGGAAGAATCTACTGGAAAGGTTATAGATGAAATCAAGATGTACTATGACTGTAGATATATTTCACCGTGTGAGGCCGCTTGGAGGATATTTGCATTTGAAATACAATTTAGGAATCCATCTGTTTAGCAATTGAGTTTCCATCTTCCAAATGAGCATTCCGTAATATTTCATGATGATGATTTGGTTGATGATGTCGTAAATCGACCCACAGTAGCTCAAAGCATGTAAGGTAGAACTAAATCATTAAGTCAAACTAACATTGAAATTACTTAATTAAAGTCACTTGGGGGAAAAACACCCCGGTGTCTATCACCAAACATAAGTATCATAAGTATACAATCCATCATCATAACATCATAAAAACAAGAAGAGTTTAGTCTATTAGATCTACTAAACTAGTCTAACTCGATCAACTCTCAAACACTGGACCCACCTGAAAGGGGTTTTGCAAAACAACAAGTAGACAAGTAGAAAACACACGTTAGCACGAAGCTAAGTATAACCACACTCAACCCTGTAAAACACTACAGTATATACTTTGGAAAAATATTTGCTCATCACATTCCAATTCAAGCAATCTCAATTAATTAGACAAACTTTAAGATAAACTACAAGCTTTCTATATGCTCGCAACCTATAATATCAACAAGCATGCTTCAACGATAAATAACTCATCAACATAATCACTCCAACATATATTTCTCATAACAAAACTCATCATAATGAACTCATGCTATCAAGAAATTGCATGCTATCACTTAATATGAAGTTATTCTCATGCTTTCAAGTTCTCATCATGCAAACTAGATATATAAGACATCAAAATGCAACTAAAGCAATCATGCTTCAAAATACGATCTCGGTTAATCATTCTCATTATGCAATCTAGTGCAAACATTCCCATTATGCAATCTCGTGCAAACATTCTCATTATGCAATCTCGTGCAAACATTCTCATTATGCAAACTAGTGCAATACCATACTCAAATGCAGTCTCGTGCAAACATTCTGATTATGCAATATCGTGCAATACTATAAGTATACTTATACACTCGCTTGTAAAATATAATACTTTTCTGTGGAGGTCTCTTAGAGCCACAAGGACTTGTTTACTTTCATTTCTTAAAGTCGCAATGACTCGCTTTCTTAGAGTCGCAATGACTCACTTTCTTTACAAATGGATGAGGTAGAAACTTCACCGTAGCGTTA